GCCGGGGGGGTGACTCCAACAGAGGTTGGGGACAAAGTGTTTTTAATGGGGAGGGAGTGGGGAGGCTTCTACATCGTATATGTTGGGGCAGGGAGGGGGGATTGATGTTAAAAAAAAAAAAAGGATAGATAAAAAAAAAAAGATTAAAAAAAAAAAAAAGAAAATACCCCACAGACAGTTTGTCACCCTTTTCAAATTCACATGAGACTAGTGTGAGGGCTCCAGGCAGGCTCCTGCTGCAGTCAGGCAGGCAGGGCTCTGGTGGGGGGCTCCTCCAGGTCCTTCTGGAAGGTCCTGTCCTCCCCAGGGGCCTTCTGGAGGGTCCCATCCAAGGTAGGTTGGCCCTGTGGGTCCAATGCCAGCTCTGTGTGCCAGGTCAGATGAGTGGAGCAATCCCAAATGTCTTGGTGGCCGTCGGAGGGGAATCCTGGTGACTCCTCAGTTCCACGGCCCTGCCAGGCTATGTGAAGGCCACGTCTCACCCTGCTGTGGCCCACCAGATCCAGGGGTATGTGGACTCACTGCTGCTTCTCAACAGCACCAGGCAGTGGAGAAGATTGGGAGGGGGACACTGGACCCAGTGCCAGTTGCTGTTGAACCTGTGACTGGAGGGACTTCCCCCTGCACAGAACCTCTACATTAATTTATTTCATGAAAGCGTAATATTTATTGTCTGGGGGAGTCTGTCTTTCTACTTTTAAATTAATTTCCATATTAAAAAAAAATAAAAAGCTGGCCTCCATCATGCAGTGGTCGCTTGTTGGGTTGTTTGTGTGGGGAGAAGCAGTGGGTTGACCGAAGTGTAGCCTTAGGAGCAGGGCCAGCTGTGGAGGTGGCCCATGGCTGACCCATGTGGCATTGGCTGGATGTGCCCCATCAGGAGCTGCTCTGGGTGCTCAGCAGCCAGAGCGAGGATGGAGTCCTCTTGTCATTGGGGAGCACATGTGGGAGCCTGCTGTGCTGCTTCCCAGTGAGGAGGAGGGCTGTGAGGTGTGTGGAGCTGGGGAAGCACCTTTCCCCACGCAGGGAGCAGCACTCAGCCCAGCCCTGCTCAGCCCCACGTGTGAGGAGGCTGGTCCTGGCCCTGACAGTGAGCCCTCTGGCTGCTCGCCTCGGGGCCAGGGCTTCTAGGGAGAGCTGGGATACCCAAGTGCAGCTGGACTTGGTGGGTGTGACTGTGTGTGAACACATTAGGATGGAGACTTGAAATCCAGGAACCCCCGTGTCACATCTGAGTGTCACCAGGCATGAGCTGTGCTCGCCTGTGTGGGATGTCCCTGGAGCCAGGGCAGCTTGTAGGGGACCTCTGGAAGCTGCAGTCACTGCTGTTTGCTGGGACCAACTAAGTATAGGAAAGGACAGGATGTCCTGACATCCTCCACTAAAGGGGTGCGGGAAGATGGGACCCCCCTTCCTGAGAGGGGGGCGGGTGTGCACGCGTGTTATGGAAACATAATAAAAATGTTATGGGGCTTTCCTAGTGTCTTCTCTGTTTAATGGACATTGTCTGTCAAACATAACCACACCATTCATAGAAGCCTTAGATCAACAGTTTAGCTATGCAAATTATTTTAATTATTTTTTTAAAAAACAAACATTAAAATAGTGCTTTCTTCTTTAACATATCCTAGGAGTTGAAAACCGAGGGGTTCTGAGCAAACTGCTGGACAACTTGTCTTTGGATGCACCATGGAAATAAAAATCAAACCCCCCCACAAAAGTAACAAAGCAAATTAACTGATGGTGTTCATGCAAGTTTCTCCAAAGACTTGACAGTGCTGCATCTGTGAGTCATGCCCTCCTGTGCTCTGTGTGTCCACCTCATGCACAACCCTGTGACACTGACTGTTTGACAAGCTTGCCCAGATGTCCGTTGCATCCCTGTGAGGCTGTCAGTTTTCTGGTGGATTTGGGGAATGAACCTAGGCAAGGGCTTTTTCCTTGTCGAGAGTAGCAAGTATTGAGACCCTGGGGGCGCGTTTTGGGAGACTGGAATGTAAGCAGACCCCCACTAGAGCCCTGCTGCAGCCCCAGTCCTTCCTGGTGGGGGTCAGGGTAGTGGGGCTCATCCAAGGGACCCTCCCACATCTGAATGGGGCCTGTGCTGGGACAAGGTGTGAAGATTTGGCTGGGGGCAGTCAGTGTCGTGGCTCTGGATGTGATACTGGTGACTGCACACCATTTTCTCTGCTCCTTGCCTCTCCAGGACTTCCTGAGCAGGCCCTGGCACATCTCCATGCTGCCACTCGATGTCCTCCCAGGGTTCCCCAGCATAGCCCAAGCCCTGTGGCCACAGGAGCCAGGGGCAGCTGGCACTCGGCTGCCATGGGGTGCACACTTCGTGCTCTGTTCTGGTCATTAACCTGGCACCAGGGTGAGGTGTGAGGGCTCTCCTGGCTCCTGCATGACCATGGCAGCTTGGAGACCCCTTGCCACCCTTCTGTGGTGTGCATGCTGCTGGCAAACATCCCTGGCTCCAGGCAGCTGCAGCATGTTGGCCCTGCCCAGCAAGCGCCCAAGTACAGCCCCAGCCCTACCTCTGCCCCACCTTCCAGCCCCAGGCACCCCCTAAGTGAGGGGACGGGTCCCCTGGGCCCTGGCAGAGCCTTGGCTGAGAGGTGGTGGTAGAGATGGCAATGATGCCCTGGCCACAGCTGGGGGCTGACTGGGGCTGGGGCTGCTCCAAGGCAACCGGAGGCACCTGCTCTCCCACTGTGCCAGGGGAAGGATTTCCTCCACCCCACAGAAACTGGGGGGGGAGTGTGGGTTATCCAGAGTCTCTCCGAGTCGGGGGAACTCTCTGAGCCCTAAAACTCCCCTCCCGTGGGACCCACTCTCCCCCTCATCTCTCCCCAGAGTTTTCTCCTCTCCAGCATGTGGTTCTGCTGCAGAGGGTCCTGTCTTGGTTTTCCTGAGCCCAGAGCAGGGACTTTCCCTGCACGGGTTAAATTTTTCTTTTGCTGCTGAATTTCTGTCTCCAAATGACCTGACAGGAAGCAGCTGCCAGTTCTCGGTGGGGCTGTGGGTGACACTGAGGACAGCAGTGCAGGACTCTCTGCTGAGGGTTTGGACAATAAGGAGGATTCCTGAGCACAGCCTTGAGGCCTGGGCATTGCTGTGGGGAATTGGGAATGGCCAACTGCCCTCCACGTCAGCATCCAGCCCTTGGCCCTTCCCTCAGGTGGGAAGTTTCCACTCCTGGGAACAATCAGGTAAAGGCTGGGTGCCACTGGGGACAGTGCCATGGGCATGGAGGTGGCTGCTGTGTGCCCTGGTCTTGGTGGGCTTGTTTCCCTCACTGCTGATGAAGATCTTGGGGTATCATAGGGAACTGCAGGATGGGGGCAACACAGCCCAGCATGGCCCACGTTGGTCAGAATCTGCTGCTCGTCATCCTCCCAGAGCACCTGGGAGGGTGATGGGGTGGGTGCAGGTACTTGGAGAAAGCAAATATTCTGGCAAGCAAAGGGTGAGATTTCCACGGAGGCTTCACTAGAAATTATGTGTGTTTTGACTTAGTGATGTCAGCGAATCATAGACTCATAGAATGGTTTGGGTTGGAAGGGACTTTAAAGATCACCTCGTTCCAACACCCTGCCATGGGCAGGGACACCTCCCACTATACCAGGTTGCTCCAAGCCCCATCTAGCCTGGCCTTGGACACTTCCAGGGATGGGGCATCCACAGCTTCTCTGGGCAACAAATGAAAGTGGCTGAATGCACGAGAATTGCTGCTGGTTTGGGGGCGGCTTCCCGGACAACAGGGACAAGTACAGCAAATACCTTCACAGCTGGTGTTTCTCGCCACTCTGGGATGAATTTTGTTAATCCAGTCTTGGAAGGACCTGGGGGGGGAGGGTTAGGGTGGGGGGCAGAGGTTAAATGGACAATGTAGTCCGGCTAGATTACAGTGAGGTGATGGCTCCTCACAACTTGGAGCAGGCGCTCCCTGCGAAGGGACAACGGGGCAAGTGAGGGAGAGCAACCTCTGCCACCTCCCAGGCTACCACCACTGCCTCGGCTGCTTCGTGGTACCCAGCTTGGAGCTGGAGTCTGGCAAATCCACAGGAGCCTGAAGGAATCCATCACTGAGTCTCATTTGGGGTTTTGTGTTGGTTTGAGCTTCTTTTTCTTTTTTTTTTTTTTCTTTTCTTTTTTACTACCGCCTTAGTTTGTGGCCTGTCTTGTTGTGGTTGGAAAGAGGAGTATTGCTAGCAGGGTGGGTTGGTCGGTTGGCCCCACGCATGATCATGTGCTTCCCTCTTCTCTCTGTCGAACGGGATGTGCTCACCTGATCTCCCAGAACAGAGACTTTGAACAATTTGTTGTTTATATGATGTATTTATTTTTACTTGTGTTTCATGTCATTTTTTAAAAAAATAATAAATTGTAAGTTGGTATAACTGCCTGTTGCTTCTCTCTCTTTTTTTTTTTTTTTTATTTTTCCCCAGTAATATAAATGTCAAAAAAAGAAGGCGATGTGGTTTGAAGTGGGTTGGAGCTGGGCTGGGCATGGGCATCTCTGCTCACCTGGAGCCCAGGCTCAGCCAGCAGCCGTCGTCCCGCTGCCTCCAGCAGCATCTGGGCTTCCACTGGCACCTCGGCAGCTGTCAGGGTGAGCCCCCGGGGCACCTCCAGAGGGGAGGGAGGCTGGATGCACCAGTGTCCATGGCCTGGCTGGGTGCTGCCTGGAGTCAGCGAACCATTGGGAGGGCTGGTTCTTGCCTTTCTCTGTCCTCTGTGCTTATTATTGCTGCTGATAATGATTGTCATCAAGGGCCAGGGGAAAACAAGGAGAATAAATATTCTGCAGGTAAATAGAGTCTCAGAGAGCAGGCACAGGCTGTGTGGCCTGGCCCTGGTGCTCCTGGGGCACGTGGAGAAGCAGCTGGGACTGGCAGGGATTGAGGTAGTAAGAGCAAGGCATTTCTGCACGGGAAGGCGAGAGGTCTCTCAGAGCTGATGCCAATGAGAAGGCCCTGGAGAGATCGGGAAGGGAGCTGTGGGCAGCCCTGGCTCCCTCACAGGCGCTGGGGGTGCCTCCGCACCCGGCCGTTCTTGCTGTCCGGGGATGGGTACTTCTGGTGCCAGGCTCTCTGCCGCTGCCTCTCCTGGTGCCGCAGGGCGTTGCAATAGGCGTCCAGGCTGGTGCCCGGGGCGCCCAGGGCCCGCGGGAAGCCCTTGTAGCCCGGCTGCAGGTCAGTGCGGGGCCGGGGGCTCTGGTGGGTCCCTCCGAGCTCAGCCCCCTTGCTCCGTTTGTAGGGCGGCAGCTCCATGGCCTCGTGTCCGATGACGCGGAGGCTGTACCGGCTGAGGGGCCGCGAGAAGGAGCGCTCCACCGCCTGGCACTCGTAGGTGCCCACGTCCTCCCTCGCCAGCTGGCGGATCAGCAGCCCTTGCTCCAGCACCAAGAAACGTCCATTGTTCCTGACCTGGGGCAAAGGCAGAGAACCCGGGTCAGTCCCTGGCGACCGAGCCACCCCTGCTGCCCGTCCCCACTGCCCCGTGCCCCGCACCTCGCTCAGGGCCGTCTCCTCGCCGTGCCGCACCAGCCACCGGAGCGTCGTCTGCGGGGAGCGCGCCAGGCACTCGAGGAAGGTTGAGTTCTTCTCCACCCCGAAAACCAGCTTCTCCACAGCAGCAGTCCCTGTGCAGGGGACGGGACAAAGGAAGGGGTGAGTCCCCTGCGTGGGATCTGCGTGACGCGGGGAGGTGAGGCAGCACGGAGCACCCAACGTGAGGTGAGGGCACTGGTTTCCCAGCTCCGATTCCCGCCCGCCCTTCCTGGGCGTGGCTGCCGCCTGACAGAGCTTGGCGCCCACACGGGCTTCTTAGAGGGGCTGGGGCTGGTGCTCACCCTCTGCTGTGCCCTGGCACTGGCTGAGGGGGTCAGACTTCAGCATGTCCTGGCAGCGGGCACGCCTGTGGGAGAGCAGACAGGGCTGTGGGGTGGCACCCACCCTAGGCTGTGGGACCCCTCCATGGCACAGTAGCCAGGGAGAAGGACCAGAGAGGGCTGAGGCAGGCAGAGTAGCAGTAGGGGTCTGGGCTGGTGGATAGAGCTCCAAGGCTGGCACTTGCCCACTCCTGCTTCTGACAGCATCCCTTTGCAGGAGTACAACAGGGCTGGCCCGGGTAAACACTCACCTCTTCTCAGTGAGCAGGTGTGGGGCACAGGTCTTGCCATCCCAGGTGCAGTAGGGATCCCTGGCCAGGCAGCAGTCGGTGCAGGTTTTGCCATAGAGCTCACAGCGGTACAGGGAGAGCTGGACCAGCCCATGGGTGCTGCTCACAAACAGCTCCTGCTGCTCGGGCAAGAGGAACAGCAGCAGTCAGAGCCCATGGCTGGAGACCAGGGCTGGCAGGGAACAGAGCTCCTGCCCCGTGCTGGGGGGGGGGGGGGACACACCGGGGGACACCAGGAGCATGAGACAGAGCCTGCCACCTCCCTAATGCCTTGGCAGGATCCCATTCCCTAAATGTGCAAGCCCTGGGGCCAAGGGACTCAGGTAGAGGGGCTGGGACCAGTTGCCCTCTGTCTCTGTCCCTGTCCCTGGGCTGCTTTAGGGAGAAGCAGGAGGGAGGACTCACCCGTTTCGGTGATAACTTCATGTCCAGGATGGGAGAAGGCACCTGGAAAGGAAGGAGACGGTGCTGAAGCCATGTCAGTCCCTCCTGTGTGTCCCAACCTGTCAGTGGTGTTGTGTCCCCGGGGGTGGCAGGATGCCAGAACCCTGGCCCAGATCCCTAGTCCCAGCTCCTCCTGCTCCCTGCAAGCAGCCTGATCAGCCCCCGTCCAGCCATCATGGTCCAGCCCCCGTGGTGCCACCATGGACTCCTGTACCTTAGTGACGCTGATCTCCTCCAGGCTGATCACCTCGGTGCCACGGCTTACCCCGCCGGCCAGCCCCACCTTCAGCACTTTGCCTTCATCTGCCAAGGCAGCAGCAGAAGGAGCTGTCAGGGCTGGGAGTCCCTGGGACAGCGGGACCCATGTGCCACACAAGCTGCCCCGCGGTGACAGCGTCCCCAGAGCCGGTGTGAGCTCCCACCTGTGCCGAGAAGAGCACGTCGTAGTGCCGGTCTCTTCCATCTCTAAGCCGTGGCATCCAGCAGCCGCCGCAAGCCGGTACGGCACATTGACCCTCACCAAGCACGGCTGGCGGCCCTGCGGGGACACGGGCTCCCACATCAGCTGGTGGCTGCGCATGAAGCTGATCACCTCGTCGGGGAAGTCCTTGGTGGACTGCAGGAGGGGGTCGTACGTCTCGCTGGGGCACTGTGTGACACGGGGCTGCATCAGGGCCGGGCCAGTCTGTCCCGCTCCCCCCCGCAGGTGCTCCCCAACCCCTTACCGTGCCAGGGCGGGGATAGGGGACGCGGCCCTTGTATTCTACCCAGCGGTAGTCGAATCCCTCCTTGTGTGCAAAGGGGCCGCTGAAGGCAGCTCTCACGGCAGCCATGGAGTAAACGCAGACGGCAGAGCCGCTGAACACGCCGCTGTGGGGAAGCACAGGGCTGTCACTGTCCCGGCTGCTCCACAGGGCTGTCAGTGACCCAGCTGCTCCATGGGGACCAGGCATATGCATGCCCACAGTCCTGAGCCCACGCTGTCCCCTGTCAGCCCTGGAGTCGTGCACAGCACCCCGGGGGTGACAGGAATCCCTTCGGAACAGCCAGTCCAGCCTGTGGGACTGCTGGCTGTGCTGATGCCAAACCTGTGGTTTGGCATTGGGCTGGTGAACCAGCAGCAGGGAAAGCAGGGAAAGGCTGGTGACCCTTCCTCAGCCATCTGGATGCTGGTCCTGCCTTTCTCCACCCAGGGGTCCCTGTGGAGCAGCACTGATGAGGGGCTGGGGGGCTGGACTGCCCCACACAGGGGCTAATGAGGGTCCTGCTCACCTGGAGACCGTGAAGAGGCCGAAGACAAGGGGGTTCTGGGGGTCCCTGGTGCGCAAGAGAAAAACATCCTCTGCAAAGAGAGGGATTGAGGTGAGGCACCCCAGAGTTGGAGTACCAGTCCAGAGGATGCAGGCAGGCATCCTTGATGCTGTGCCCTCCTCCCTGGGAGGGAGCAGCTGTGGCAGAGCAGTGTTGCTCCTGGCTGCAGCCAGGGCTGTGCACTCACCGAGCTGGTCGAAGTGGGTCTCGGTGCCCTGGGGCCCAGGGATGGAGCACACCAGGCGGGCCTTCAGGAACGTGCTCCAGCGGTTGATGAGGCTGCGCTTCCCTCCAACATCATTCTGCCAGGCACCAAGAACTGGGGTCAGTCCAGCCTCTCTGAGCCTCCCCCGCCACTGTGCCCTCCCTGTTCCGACATCAGGACACCCCCAGCCCTGAGCCTTCTGCCTGGTGGCCAGTGTGCAGTGGCACCCTCACATCTCACTGTTTGGGATGCCTCTTGGTCCAGAGGGGGTAAAAGCCCACCCGGTGGGACATCCATCCACAGAACACTGGCCTTTGGCAACTGACCTTGCAGACCCTGGCCACCCTGGCATGGATGTGCCGCCGCTCCCACTGCCCAGCTTCCATGGCTGTCTCACGGAAGAAGATGTAGACCTTGTCATCGTGAGGGTTGTAGGTGTCGGGGATGTCGTAGGCACCAATGAACGCTGGCTCTGTGGGGGGAAAGAGCAGCACAACGTGGCCCTGTGTCCTCATCCCACTGTGTGGTACTACCCTGAAAGCCCCTGGCAGGTGCTGAGGGTACACAGGACCTGCGTAGACCTGGCTACCTGGGAGGCAGAGCCCCATTCCCAGTGCTCAGGCTGTGGAGTGCATGCTGGAGCCTGGATCCCACCAGTGGCCTCATTAGTGCTTCCCCCAAAGAGGAGAACGGGGTGAGACCAGAGAGCTCTGGCCCCAGTGCTGGCCTCAGCCTCTCCCCAGCAGTCAGGAGAATCCCTCCCCTGCCCCATGGGTCCCCCTGTTCCTACCGTGTAGCCAGTGGTCCTGGTTCTGCTCCGTGCGGATGTAGCTCTGCTCTGCCCCGTGGACCCAGGTCCGGAAGAAGGCAGCACTGCTGCCCATGAAGTCACTGGAGGTGCCCGAATACAGCTCCCCATCTGTGGGGTTAGGGGGGTGTGGGTGGGAACCAGCACCTCCCAGTACAGACCATGCCCAGCACTCCCCTCCCAGCATCGCCTCTGCTCCCTCTCGCTCTTACCGACGAGGAGTCCCGTGAAGGGCTCACGGGGGCTGTACGGGCACCGTCCTCGCCCCGATTCCAAGGAGTGGGTCACCAGCCGCATGGGGGGAGCCCCGGGACCCTGTCAGAGCCAAGGGGGAGATGTCAGCCCAGGGGAACAAGCTGGGATTGTGGGAAAGAGTGGAAAGGAGGCTGGAGTGCTGTGATGAGTGGAGTCCTCGAGGAGGATGCCAGGACCTGGTCCCATCTCCATGAGACACCCTGGCACTGCCAAGCTGGAGTTGCTCTCGTCATGTGAATGTCAGGAACTGCACCAGGCTGTCCACCCTCCCCGTTCTGGGGCTCCCTCTCCCTTTGCTCCCTGGGAATGGGGATCTCTTGGCACCTTCTGCCATGGGCACTTGTCTGTCCAGGGTGCTCCTCACCTTCCCCCTGGCTCCCAGCTGGATGAAGGCACAGACGGGCTGGTAGGAGCCGGTGCCACAGGCGAACACGTGGCTCCGGTTGAAGGGCTGGAGGAGGCGGATGAAGTTGGCACACTCCGTCTGCACAGGGGGAGATGTTTGTCACTGGGCTGAGTCCTGGTGTGTCTACTGGGGATGAGGAGCCTGGCCAGACCCTGCCATGGCACCTGGCCAGCTGGGCTTGGCTCTGGCTGGCTCCACAACCCCATTCCAGGCAGATCCCCAGGCTCGCTTTCGGGGTGACAGGGATGTTTAACCTCCATGGTAAACTGCCAAAGGCGATGAGCCGGGACTGCCAGCCCTGCTTACCTCCACGTTCTTCCCTGCCAGCTGGCAGTGCTCGACTTGCTCCCTGGGGGCTGGCCAGAAAATCTGAAACACAATGACCCCTCAGATGCAACCCCTTTTTCCCTTGGCTCCCATGGCACCGATGGGAAGAGGCTCAGTCAAAAGGCACTGCCAGGCTCAGGTGCATGACAAGGACACGGGGCTGCTCTGCCACAGGTCTGACACCCCCCTGGGTCCCTAGGGCCCAGTGGGCATCCTGCCAAATCAACTCAGAGTGAACCCAGCATGGGGACAGAGCCTGGGTGGGCCACGGCACGCCCAGGCAGTGGGCAGGCTCTCCTGGATCCCGGCCCGTGGGAACGCCAGGCTGCGGTGCCTTAATGGGCTTTTCTTTTGTTGGGCTTGAGCTGTGCACCCTGCCAGCAGGATGTCTTGGGATGACATTAGTGGACTCACTGCTGGAGTTTTTGCTGCAGCAGCAGGGACTAGATGTGACTGTAGGGCCCCGGGCACTGCCCTCAGTCCACCCAGGTCACCTCTCCTGGCCAAGCCACCCTGTCCCTCCCTGGCGTCAGCCCGTCCCAGCAGGGCCCAGCACCGCCAGGGATGGGTTGACCCCAGTGATTGAGACATCCTGGCATAAATGTGTCCCCAGTGAGGTTAGAACAGCCCAGTTCAGAGCACATCCACCTCCACGCCCTGGTGCTGGGACAAGGAGTTGCTCCCAGGGAGGAAGAGGCCAGCTTGGCCAGGGCCACCCTCCTCCCAGCACTGACCTTCTCAGGCTCTCTGCTGGGGTGGTCCAGGTGGAGCAGGAAGATGTGGTTTTTTGCTCCCACCATCAGCCAGGCTCTGTCTTCATCCACCAAGAGAGACTGGAAATCCATTCCATCCCCTGAGGCCAGCAGCAGGCGAGAGCTGTTGGATTTCAGCAGGTCTGAGGAGAACAGTGTGGGAGAAAGAGAAACCCATCCATGAGCAACACAACCAGCAGCCAGGGGCCCTGTGCCTCCCTGGCTGGGACAGCCCTGGTTACCTACCCTTACTCCAAGGAATCACAATTCCTGCCTCTGCCTCAGTGAAACCCACTCTCCTTGGTGCCCCTGAGCTCATCATGGAGTTTCCTCCATGTTCCTTCCTGGGAGAAAGAGTCACTCCTACAGAGAGGAGAACTGTGCTGACCTTGCCCTGGCTGAGCTGGTTTGCAGGGCACAGACAGGACAGGGATCCAGCCCAGGAGCACAGAGTGCTCAGCTTCCAACCTGGATTGCAGAACTCCTGGAGCTGCAGAGCCTCTGCACCCTGAAACTGTGGGGAGAGGATGGAGCAGAGGAGACTTGCTTGCTGTGCCTCCTGGCATGTTTTCCATGCATTTCAGATCAAGAGAGTTTACATAAAAAAGGGTTTTGGCTATTTGCTGGGGCAAATACAGCCTCCAAGGAAAGGTCACCACAGCCCAGTCTGGACACCCTCTTTGCCCACCCTTTGAGCCTGTGAAGTGGCTGCCGGACTTCACTCCAGGCACAGGGACAGGCAAGGCAGGAGGATGGGAGCACTGGGATAGACCCTTGTAAAGGAAGTTCTCAGCTGTGTCCTGGATGCCACTCCAACCCTGCACCAAGCACACCACATTTCCCATTTTGTGTCCTGGGTATTAGACTAGCTAGGGAAAAGTGCTTTTCGTGGCACCCCTTTGGCACTGCTGGAGGGAAGAACCACCTTGCTGAGGGGAAAGTGTGCCATGGACCCAGTACAATCCATGGAGAGTGGAGACAGGGCAGCAGGAAAGGCTCTGCTGTTCAGGCTGCAGCTCCTCCTGTGCAGCAGCCGGAGTGGCTCACATGGCCCTTCTGGCACAGTTGCAGCCATGGGGGTGTGTGAGGGAGACAATAAGCTCTTTTCTTTTGGTTAAAACTCCTGAAACAACATCCCCTGGGCTCGCATCAGCCTGTGATGTGCAGCACCAGGTTTGGTGGCTGGTTGCCGGGGCAATCAGCCCCCAGTGCCGCCGGAGTGGCGGCTGCACCGGACACGGGACCGCAGCAGCTGCCGCCCCTGAGCGCCTGCTCCCAGGGATCGGGGCAGGAGAAACCTGCACTGGGGCAGGCCTTGGGGCTTCCAGAAATCGTAACATACAGCTCTCATCTCCAAAAGTGCCGGGATGTGGCTGGGAATAGGGGGCTGGCTACGCTGGGAAGGCTGCTCCTGGTTTTCGTGTTGTGCAGGGAAATGGGCAAAAGTGGGGCTGTGGGAAGAGGAGATGGAAATGGGCTGCGCTGGATGGGAACTGAGTAGAGGCAGAGTGTGGCTGGAAACCCAGAGAGATCTGTAAGTCCCAGACTGAAAATCTGCCCCAAATCACATGGATTGAAGCAGTGTGTCAGGAGCAGAGGGAGGGAGGCTGCCGAGAGGAGCCGGTGCTGGCTGGGTGGGTGGAGTGTGGATGGGAGCGTGGGTGGACGTGCGGCCCCAGGTGCAGGTGGGGTGTACGTGGGCACGGGCACAGCTCCATCCGAAGGGAACCGGCTGACCCGGGAGGTTGTCTCACTTCCTTCCACCCCCTTTCCAGGGCAGAGGGGAAGCAGGGCCAGTGCCTGAAGGCTGGAGACGCCACTGACGTCCGGTGGTCCCTGCTGGGCCCAGCAGCACGTGGGTCCCTGCCCGGATCCAGCAGCCAGGCTGGCTCCCAGCTAGCGCTTCCGTCTCCCCTTCCTCCAGGATCAGAGCTCCTGTAAGGGGGGGCCACAAATCCTCCTCTGCCAGGAACCACTTCCAGCTACATCAGGGAGCTCCTGGCTCTCCTCCTGCTCCCACAAAAACTGTGCACAGCCCCGTTGCACTCCCCACCTTTCCTCGGGTGCCTCCTCTGGATACCAGGGATACAGGGGAGAAGATTTCCAAGCAATTTTCCTCTAGCTGAATGGGATTAACAGCTGAATTCCTGTCCCTGCCTCTGAGCCATTGTCCCTGCTGGGTCCCCAGTGGAGTGCAGTGCATCACTCACTCTCTTATGTCTGTCAACATCAGGACCTGCCTGATTCAGGGAGGAGGGAAATGCTAGGCAGGACTCTGGGGAGGCAGGTTGGGGTGGGAGGGAAGGGCAGAGGACAAGGCTGATCCTAGAGAGTGTCACTTGCTGGTCACCCTCTGACGTGCTGAGGACAAGGTCAGGCAGGGTGATGGAGGAGCCCTCCCTGCTGCCATGGTTAATACATGGGAGAACCCTGGAAGGACTCACTGCCCTGCACTTGCTTCCTCTGGCAGGTTAATGACCATGAGGGTCTGAGCCTAACCCCGTGGCACGGCTCTGCTCCCTCACCAAGAGGACATTGAGTGCTGTAATCCAGACCCAGGAAGCTGCCCCACAAAAACCAGTCTCTTCTCACTCCCAGGGCATTTGATCCAAACCCAGCCCTGGAGGCAGGGAACCAGGGCATCTCTGCAGCAGCTGTACCATGGTCAAACCCATGGATGAGCCCCGAGAAACATCCTCTCCTTTGTGTTCACTACCTCCCAAGGCCGCGGTGTTTGTCTCTATTGCCGGGACCACTGTAACTGCCTTGTCCCATCCATCATCTCTGCCTGCCCCTCAGCTACACCATCCTCCATGCAGGGTGACCTGGGCTTCCTGGGGTCACCTCCCGGCTGTGCTGGAGGGCTCTCCTGGCCCCTTCCCCTGCCACCAGGCGCAGCAGCCCACGGAGGAGATCCCCGAAGCCGGGGGGAAGCTTGGTGCTAAATCGGGCTCTGGCCCCTCACTGCTGCTGGCTGATAAGGGACGTGCCAGGGCAGCTCTTGGTGCCGATAACCAGAGCCCCATGACCACCCTGCCCTCTGGAGCACTTGCTGCGTGGTGCTGCCCGGCTGGGCTGGCTGCAGATCAAAGGCTGGCAAACGACCCATTTGCCAGTTCCCGGGATATTCCCGCAGGAGCTGGCAGGCGTGCTGTGGTTTCACTGAACACCCACACTGCTGCACAGCCTTGGAAAAGAGAGAGGCTCAGCTCGGGCAGCGCTGGGGCTGACCCAGCCTGACCCAGCTCACCCCAGGCTGCCCCTGCCCGGCCGGGGTGGCCGGTGTGCTATTATAAACCTCCTCCTCGCCTCCTCGGCGGGGTGGGAGCCGCTGCTGTTGTTCCTGGCCCCGTGCCCTGTGCCCCATCCTTCCTGTGCTCCCGGGCCGTCGCTGCTGTCATTTCCTTCTCTCGACCCTGCTTGCGTCTTGTCCCCCCGCCCCGCCGAGGGCTCCGCCTGCCATCCCATGCTGGGATCTGAGGGCAAGGCTGACCCCGCCGATGGACCCTCAAAGGCCTCCTTTTATTTATTTTTTTTTTTCTCCTAGGGGTTTTTAAACCTAAACTTCTCAAGGCATTGTGTCCTTGAACCTGCCCTGTGCTGTCAATGAGTCACATCCCCTCGCCATTGTTCACCTCGTCCTTGAGCCCTCCCGATGCTGGGAGCTTCCTCTTCTGCCTCTGCCCAAAAGGGTTTTTGGCATGTCTGGCCCCGGGACACTGTGGGGCTTTGAAGTCATCAGTCCCTCTACCCCAGCAGCCCTGCTCTGCCTCCTCTGCTCCAAGGAAAGGCAGACCCTGCACCGTGTTTCTGAGCTGGGCTATCAGCAGAGCCTTCTCCTCACACAGATATATCCCTGGGAGGTCCAGTCCTCTGCAGCCACAAACAGAGAGCATCTTCCATCATGCTGGCTGTCCCTGCCTGGAGAGCAGCTCCTCAGGGTGATGGAGCAGTCCAAAAGGATGGCCCCAGAGCCTGGAATGCCATGCCCATGAGAAAGCTGCTCTGTCCCCTCTCGAGTGTGGAGAGGGCTGGTCCAGCCCTGCTGACTGCCACGTCCAAGGCCACTCTGAGGACGTGCTGAGCTGCCATCCTCAAAAACAGCTTGCTGGTTTTCACATGGGAGAACCTGAAAGCAGGTCAATTGGCCACGTCCATGCTCCAGGTTCATGGCAGGGTGAGGAGCTGCCAGGTTAGCAGAGCTCTCCTCTAGCTGCTCGGGTCATTCCCCTGTAGAGACTCTTTCCCTAGGGACTCCCTTCCCACACTTCTCTGCTGGGCTGTGTGCTGTGCTACCTGTCAGTCTGCCATTGCTGCATCTTCAGGTCACCAAAGCAGTCCCCCCTCTGCATCAGGCTTGAGAAAACGGTGCCTCCCCTGAAGAGCAGACCAGACGGACATAGGGGGAAAGGGAGAAGTGCAGTAGGGAGATGATCTGCACGGGGAATCAGTCTCTCCTGGCAGGAGAGGAGAGGTACAGGCAGGACTGTGCTGGTGGGAGGCAGGAGAAGGAGCTGGTGGCACTGTCCTGGGGCTCAGTGTCCCCACTGCATGGTGAGCTGAAGGGGGTGTGCAGTTCAGCCCCAGCCCAGGACACACTGTGAGACACACAGAGTGAGTCTGAGCAGAAGGAGGCATCCTCTCTGGTCCTGGTGTTGCACTGGACCAGGGCAGAGTTTTCCCTACTCGGCCCTCTTCTCCAATGCCAGTGGCACTGGTACAGCATCCTCAGGGACTGCTTGGAGTTGCACCCCTGAAACATCCCAAGGGCCCAATGTGTGGAGATGTTATAGCCACAACCGTAAGGCTGCTGCCTGTGTCCCCAGGCCCTGGCCACCCCTTCACTCCCTCCTTGCAGGACTCTCTCCCAGCCCTCCCAGGCGAGGTGCAGACCCCGAGGAGCCCCTACCTTTGTAGGCGAGGCGGAGGCGCGGGGCGTGCTGCTTCCATGCCTTGCTGCTGCCTGGCTGCTGCAGGAGGACGCAGAGGAGGAGTGTGGAGAGGGGCAGCCCATGGCTGGGGGCAGCCCACATGCTGGCACAGGGATGTGGGCAGGGACCACTGGCCCTCACAGCACCATGGTCCAGCGCCGAGATGCCACCTCAGCCGCCAGCTGCAAGGAGAGAAAGGGGAAGGCTGCAGCTGGTGCTCAGTGGGCCAGTCTGGGCACTGGGAAGGCAGCTGTGGCTGGGATAGACATTCATCAGTTGCCCCCCCCGGAACTCCAGTGCCTTCCATGTCCACAAAAGACCAGCTACTCCAGCCTGCTTAGGAGAAGTGTACATACAGTGTGATGCCAGCATGCCCACAGCATGTGGTACTTTGAAGCACTGGGATTTGAGTATCCTGGAGGTGCCTGACATGAGGGAAGAGGTGAGGAGCTCTTGGGCAGTAGTATATCCTTCAACAGGCTCTCAGAACTTGGGCATCCTCTGCTCAATATCTGCTCAGATCCCAGTGCTTGGCAGAGCCTGGTGAAAGATCCCTAATACTCATCTTATCTCAACTTGGGGTTAAATATCATCCCTCTCACTTAAAGGGGAATCCATGTTTTGGAGCACTGTCCACAAATGCCACTTCTCTGATCCCATCCACGTCATCTGTGGTTGTGCATGTACATGACATATCCCTGGCCAGTAGCTCAGCAAATTGCCTGGTCACCACAGAGCTCTCTGAGGCCACCAGCATCTGCTGGCTGTGGGATACTGCAGGCTGGAAGGGCTCTCTGACACATACATCCCTTCTGAGGCACACAGGGGTTCACTGCCTTGTCCAGCAGCTCCCACAGCTCCTGCCGGGAATGGGGCTGGCCTGCTGGCCCTCACCAATTAATCCAGGCTATTTAGATACTTTTTCTCCACTTCATAAATGTCCTGGTCCCTACATGGCAGCTCTGACTAACTCCCCCTCTTGCTGCATATTAAGTTTGTCCAGTCCCACGGCTGAAAGATTTAAAATGAGCTTTTTAGCTCATTCCTGGCCAGAGGTTCTTGGCACCAGGAGCAGGGGATTCCTGCCATCCCAGCGAAGGGCTGTGGGAAGGATGGTGCAGCCAAGTCTTTCCAGCTTCTTTGGTCTCTGCCTTGCACAAGAAGTGCTCAGCTCTGCCTAGGGAGGAAGTTTGGGGCTGGTGGAATGGGGGTTTCTCTCTCTCCCAGCAGTAGCTCATGGCTGACCTGGGTTGCAGCTTCCTGGGAGGGGGTGCAGCTCATCTCCTGCTGCTTTCCTGCCCTCACTGCTGCCTGGATCTCACTCTGGCCAACATAGCCTGCTGCTGCTCCAGAGCCTTCCCCTGTGCCAGGAGACCTGTCACCACCCCGGGACATGGATGTGACCTCGGGGTGACTGCTGTGCCATTCTCTGTCCCTCTTTATTTTGGGGCTGCTCTCTCAACCCAGCCACTCCTTCCTGGGCACTTTTCAACAGTTCAACCACTGACATAGGAAGGGAAAAAACACCCCACAAACATGGTGGGTTTAGCCGGGTTTAAACTGTTCCTGGGTTGTGGGGAGGGAGGTTCCCTGATAGGAACCCGTCGGCCACACTGGGGACCCACAGACAGTGCTGCCCTCGCTCCCCCACAGCCCCCTTCCCAGCAGGCAGTGATGGGATGCTCCAGCCATTTCAGCTGCTCCCATGCTCAGCCCCTGCAGTGGGGTCTCCCAGAACCATCCTGTGGACTCGCAGCCGTGCCCTGAGCGAGCACTGCTGTCCCAGGGGTCATCCCAAGGACGGGTCTGGGATTTGAGAGATGTATTTTTTTCCTTTGCCAAAGTGTGTTGTGCTGCTGGAGGGCTCAGGAAAATGCTGGCCTCTAATTGCAGCTTTCTATAAATGGAACTGGGTCTGTGCTAGGCTTACCTTTGGGCTAAGCCAACCGTGGAGGAACCTTTCGTGACCCAGGGAATGCCAGGGCTTCTGCAGATGGCAGGCAGGGCACTGCTCCTGCCCTGGGACATGGTCACGCATGATGAGCTTTGGGGATGCTTTGCATGCCTGGAGGAGGGGCTGGGGCTGTTGGGCAGGCGTGTGCACTCCCATCTACAGCTCAGTTATACCAGTGCTCCATCTCCGGCCTTGGGAATGCCAAAGGCAGGTCTGATGGTAGCAGGAGCCACAGCCATGCACAGGAAAAACCCAGAGCCCTGGCAGGGCTGGGACAGGGACAAGAAAGTGAGGGTTTTGCTAGAGGGATTTGCAGCAGAGAAAGGAAGAAAAAGTAAGAAACACTTCCCATGTGTGTCACTCTGGGACTCCCTCCCTTTGTGCCCAGGCAGCAGTGAGGGACTCCACATCCACTTCCAATGCCCAGTTAAAATCCCAGCACAGCCCCCCCCGAGCTGGCTGTGCCCACGGGCACAGGGACATCCCTCGCTGTGCCAGTCAGTGCAGGGATATGGGGGAAACAGATCTGCTGGAGGTGAGGAGCTCGGCCGAGTTTACACGGAGAGGGGGAGCGTGGGTGCCTGGTGGATGGAAACAAGCTGCAGATGATGAATCCAGGGTTAAATTAAACACTCCCGACAGCTTTAAATAATCAACTGTCCGGAGCTGCAACTATTTCCATCTCAGTTTGGAGAGGGAAGTGCTGATGAGGGCAGGCTGCTGGGCGAGGGGATGGCGGGGGGTTAACATTTCATACTCCAGGCACAGCAGGACCTGGTGGTGAGGACTTGGGGGATGTCAGCTGTATTTTGAGGGGCTGGCAGTCACCAGGAGTGCCAGGTGTAGGTGGCACTGGTAGTGACACCACAGTGCTGGGCTGACTCTACCAGCAGACCACCAGGCACCCTGGTCCCAGCAGCTGCCCTGTGCCCTCCCTCCCCTTCCACTGGTGACCTGCAGAAGCCACAGAATCACAGAATGGCTTGAGTTGGAAGGGACCCTAAATATCATCTAATTCCAAACTCTCTGCCATGGGCAGAAATGCCCCCCACTAGACCAGGTTTCTCAGAGCCCCATCCAACCTGGATGTGAACAGTTTCAGGGACGGGGCAGGCACAGCTTCTCAGGACAACCTATGCCAGAGCCTCACCACCCTCACAGGGAGGAATTTTTTTCTAATATCTAATCTAAATCACTCCTCTTTTAGTTTAAAACCAGCCCCCCTTGTCCTGTCAGTGTCTGCCTGTGTACAAAGTCAATCTCCCTCATTTTTATAAGCCCCCTTTAAGTACTAAGGCTGCATTGAGTTCTCCACGTAACAGAAGTCCAAGAGGTCTAAGGCTCTTGGCTGTCACAAAGTCCTCTGGAAAGTCTTGCTGTAGAGTGAGCAGTCCAGGGAAAAGACAAATCCTTCCTGTTTGAGGCACGGGGTATGGAAGGGACTGGTTTATCCGTGAAAACTCCAGTTTCCTCCTGACAACGCCTATCTGCTGCAATGCCACGAATAGTGTAAACCAGCCCAAATGTCAGAGGGGGAAGGGCCCTGGCAGTGGGTTTATCAGGCTATGGATTATCTCTGAGGGGGAAAGCTCAGCTCTTCAGCAATCCCGCAGCACGAACAGCAGTCGCCCTGTTGCCATGTGCTCCACCAGTTCACAGGCCTGATTGTATCCCAGATAATCCCCACGTGCCATGGACAGCCTGGTGCCTTCTCCAGTTACATGGCAGGGCTGGCAGGGCTGGGGTATGAGACAAAATGCTGGTCCCCAACAGCTGGGGGACCTCAGGGGACAGGAGAGGGGGGAGGAGAGGATATGCACACCTTATCAATGTCCATCCATAAGGGTCTTCCCTGTGGGGGGACAGAAATGCTGGGGTAGAACTTGCTTTGAGAGGGGAGAGCTCCAGGGAACTGAGTCCCTCCATGGAGCTGGCCCTGCCTGAGGCTCCTGAGCACCCAAGCCCTGACTCCCAGACCTCAGCCCCAGACTCCTGAGACTGTCCTGCCTCCCTCAGCAGAAACTCTGGTGTGGGTGGTCCCTTCTCTGCCACTTTTGGGAGCTAGGAGAAAGGAGTCTCACCCTGGCAAAGACACTAAGGGGCAAAGCCAGGCAAGGAGGTCTAGCAGACTCAAATTGGGCATCCATCCCTGCACACACATCCATGGGTCAGTTGGGTGCCTGCCATGTGGTCTGTGTCATGGGAATGTGGAGCCATGTGTGTGTGGAGCACTCACAGCCGGAGCTGCTGGCCATGTGCCTTGGCCTGCACCCCTGCCCACAGCTGTCCCTCTTCCTAAATCACTGCCTGGCCCCCTCCCTGGCCACGCAGGAACAGAACCCTCCCTGCTCAGCCCAGGGCTGTGGTTGTCCCTCTCCATACCGCCCAGGATGATGGATGCCCTGGCAGCTGCAGGGAGAGGCAGCTGTCATCCTTCTCCACTGGGAGGACAAAGGCACTGGGGTGAGCCCTTGGCTCCTTCCCTGTCTTCCCTCAGAGCTGCCAGGCTGGGGCAGGACCAACTCTGAGGAAGCCTGTGGTGCTGAGTGGTTTGTGGGAGGGGAATGTGATGGTCCTGCAACAAGACACCAGAGCTGGAACCACAAAACCAAGTGGCAGAGCTTGGGTGGCATCACAGCACCTCAGTGTGCCCTGTGAAACATCAAAGTCTCAGTGAACCCCTCAGTAACAAGATCACACACTCCCATACACAGCCCCAGAGATTGTGGGGAGTGGATTTGGAGGGGTTGGATGAAGGGATTGTTGGACAACAGCAGAAGGCTGAGGCTGCTCCAGCTTCACCTCCATTTCCCTGCCACCACACAGCCAGGTTGGCCAGCAGACTCCCCTCCAGCTGGGACGTCTGGCAGCCTCTTACTCTCCTGCCTCCTGACATTAAAGTCCCCGACTGTGATTAGTCCCAGACCACCCTTCCTTGCCAGACAACACTACTGGAGTGTGCCAAGCACCATGGGTGGGGACGAAAGAGCCCAGCTGCCACTGTCACACCACGGACCCTCAGCATGTCAACCCCTGGGCAGGGGGGCTCCTCCCTCATGGGCACTGGGTGACAGTGGCGATGGGGTAGGGACAGCCCGGTGGTCTGGGTGGTGTCAGGAGGACTTTGCTGCCTGTGGTGACACCTCAG